GCCAATTACTTGAGTTTTAAACTCTTTGTTAAGGTAAGAGTCTGCTTCCAATGTGAAGAATGTATTGTCCCAAGCTTCATGGGTTTGTATAGCTGTTTTCAGAGATACTTGTAGGGACCTGTAAATTTTCAGTTCTTCCAAGGTGGTATGATAAGGGGCAAGGTGTTTACTCCTTTCCTGGCCTGTGACCACAAGTATTCCTTTCTGTCCTGTAACTGTGAGGAAGGGTTCCTCTCCACAGCCACTCCAAGCTCTACCACGCCAGCGTTCCTCCTCACCCCAGCACCGCCGCCCAGAACTGTGACCCAGATCCAAACTGGGGCAAAGCAAGAGATTCCTGCCTTAGCATTGGCAAAGAGATGCCTGCAGTCCCTCTCTGATCAGTCAGTGGAGTCCCCCTCAGTATGTGGGCCAGAAGCTCGGGAAGCAGCTGCTCCCCCCCAGGGCCACGCTCTTGGGGAATGTATCTGAAGCCCCACCTTCCTGTCTCAGCACCGACAGAAACAGACTTTTCCCACTGACCTTCTAAGTTGTCTTTGGCATTCGTGGATTGAGGAGTCCTGAAACCTCCACAGCTGCCCCCTGATTCAGTCCTCTGAGGCCTGCTCCAGGTTCACTGCGTCCTGCGCGCCCATGCCGCGCTGCACTGCGCTCCCAGCCTAGCGCGATACACCTTTCTGATCAATCATCCAGGTTGTCTTGGGCTAGATATTTGTTTCACTCTGTCTTTTTGTGGGTTCTGCTGCTTCAGAATTTGTTTAGAGCCATTTTTTATGAGTATTTGGAGGGGTTTGGAGGAGAGCTCAAGCAAGTCACTGCTTTCACTCCGTCATCTTGGCTCCACCCTACACTTCAATTTTGCCCTCTCTTTCAAATCACAATTCCCTGTAGCTAATGTTCATTATAAAGTCCCCAATTTTTCCTTATAGATTTCTCTTTCCCCATGAGAGCATAAGGATGAAAGGGCAATAGCACTTACAGACCTCAAACTTTATTATAAAGGAGTAATCATCAATACAACTTACTATTGCCTGAAAAGTAGATCAATGGAACCAACTAGAAACATTCAAGGGACAACAAGAAACAAAAGAATACAAAACCCAGTGTTCAATGAACCAGAAAATGTAAATTGTTTAGAGAAGAACTCCCTTTTTTAACAAAAATTCCTGGGAAAACTAGAGAGCAGTCTGGCAGAAATTAGGCTTAGACCAAAACCTTATAACACATTCCACAATTCATTCCAAATGGACATATGAAATTGATATCAAAGTTTTTACAATAAATAAATAGGAAAGGTAGAACATACACTTCTCAGAGCTATGGGCAAGAGATGTATTCCTGATCACAAAAGGGATATGGGAAATTACAAAAACAAAATGGATAACCTGATTGCATGAGAAAAGTTTCTGCACAAAATTACCACATCAAGGTTAAGGGAAGCAGTTGAATGGAGGAAAAAAATCTTTTTATCAAATTTCTCTAATAAGTATTTGTTTTGCAAGATATATAAACCATTAAGGATACATATATATAACTTCGTGTTATATATGCATACATACATGCATATATATGTGTCTGTATTGTATGTGCACACACATAGGTGCATGATATCAGTCAATGTAGTACACACACGCATGCATGCAGGTATACGTTTTGTCTTTTGATTTAGGATTACTATAAAATGTAAGTGAAAATTGTTTAGATGAAAAACAACTCAAATTAGCAAATATGCCCCTTTAAACATTTAATTGTAGAATGGTCTAGTTTAATCAGTGGCAAGGTTCTGTACTTGGGAGTCAGAAAGACCTGACTCCCAATTTCAGGTTCAAATACTTTCTTACCATATGACCTTTGGTAAGTAACTTTAGCTCTCTTGGACAATGTCATCTATAAAATAAGGGGGTTGCACTATATAGCCTCTAAGGTCTTTTGCAGCTCTAAACATCAGTAGGAGTATTGTGTATTAGTAAATTGTCTCTAAGAGATTGTGGCTGAAACAGAGTACAGAGGTTTTTCTTCCACAACTGTAAAAACATTTGACTCAGTACAGTATAAGAAGTCTTAAAGGTCCATTTCCAATAAAGAGCCTTTTAACACCAAGAGAAGCATAAAACATGAAAGGTACCCAACTTCAACCAGCTAATAGCTGTCTAAGATAGAATTTGAAACAGTCTTCCTGACTCTGAGTCCAGTGTCCTACCCACCATTCCACAAAGGTAAAGTCTGCCAAATGCTCATAACTGCAGATGACATAATGAAATCAGCACAAAGCCCCACAATATTACAAGGCCTACTCAATGAAACTCACATTTGCTCAAAAGAGATTGACCAAAAAAAAAAATCAGCCAGGGAAAATAGATGAAAACTGTAGCAATCAACTAAATGGGTAGCTCAACTGAATTAGTTTCCCAGTACATACTGAGGCAGCTAGGGGGCACAATGGATAGAGTATGGGAACTGGGAGTCAGGAAGACTTGAGTTCAAATCCTACTTCAGACACTTAATAGCTACGTGACCCTGGTCAACTCATTTGTCTGTCCCAATTTCCTCACTTGTAAAATGGGAGTAATTATAGCAATTACATCCCAGTGTTGTTTTTAGGATAAAATGAAATATTTATAAAGTACTTTGCAAACCTTAAAGTGCTATATGAATGCTAGTTCTTATTATGGCTATTGTCATTATTATTATCATTATAACTCTTGAATAGGAGGAAGAGAATAAGTTGGATTCCACTGAAGAAACTGCAGATTACTTGCTATGATCCTAAGCTGCAACACCTAGTTGTGCTACAAGCAAAAGATCACTGGCTCTAAAGTTTGAGGACCTAGGTTCAGATCTTTCTTCTGATGCTTATTATCTAGGTGATCTTGAGCAAGTCACTTAATCTCCCTAGCTTGGATTCTGCAGGTGTAAAATGAAGGATTTGGTCTCTAGACCACAGGTTCCCAAAGCAGGCAATACCAATTCCGGGGGCTGGGCGGGGGGGGGGGTGAAACCATCCAGGGAGATGGTAGTAGCCTTGGATGCAATTGGGGGGTGTTAAATAAAAATAAGGAGGTGGTAGAAGCATAAGGAAAGAAGAAAAGAAAATTTTGAAAAACCAGACACGTTTCCTCTGTTGTGTAATAGAGTTAAAGTCATAGTGATTACATAATTTTCCAAATAAACACACAAAATGCAAGTTATAACTGACCAGTGGTCAAGCTGTCAACAGGTCTTATTAACAAGCAAGTGTTGCCAGGTGAGCATGTCACACGTTGTCAGGAAGTCCAGCAAGCGTTGCAGGAATATGACTTGTTTACAATACAATACTATGTGGTTACACAACACAATACTGTGTCATCAAAATTTCAATGCAGAAAAAAACCACAAATTTACAACAAATTATTAAATTTAAAATGTGTCATTTTTTTAAAAAAATATTTTATATTTTTTTGAAATGATGAAAATTTTTTTTTAAACCCATTATAGGGTTAAAAAAAGTAGATTTCCAAGGGGGCACTGAGTAACTTTTTTTTTTTAAAAGGGGGCAGTAGGCCAAATGAGTTTGGGAACCTCTGGTCTACAGCAATTATGTTAAACCCGAATACAAATAGGAACCACTAAACCATGCATAAGGATCTCTGAAGGCTGTATACTGACTTAGATAATCACAAGTTTTATAAATATGTATGTGTATGTATATATATATATATATATATATATATATATATATATATATATATATACACACACATACACACACATATAATTTTAACGTATTTATTTTGTTCAATATGTGCCAATTATATCATTCTTATTCAGGACACACTCAAACACCACATGCAGCCTGTGAAGCCCATGTCTGACATTTCTGACAACCTCTACGGACCCGGGGTCCACTGATCTATGATCTTATAATTTGTATAGTTGGATTACATATGTTCATTACAAGGGAGATGATCTAATTCTGAGGGTTGTGGTAGGGGGTATGGGCTGTAGGTCAATGAGTAGTAATATAGATATGAAAAAGGAAAGTATTAATGCAAAATTTTTAAATGTCAAATAATTAAGTCAGTATTTATTAAGTGCCTACCACATTCAAGGCACTGTACTAACTGTTTGGGATGAAAAGAAGGCAAAAAACAGTCTCTCTGAACTCAAGGAGCTCACAAAAAAATGTACCACCACCCCCCACAATAAAAATATGTAAAAAGGGACCAAAATAGAATATAGTCACTAGCTCATTACGTTTTATTTAGAGATCTATATCTATACATATATAAATATATCATATTTCATTAAAAAAAAAGGTAATGCAATTCCTTTTTTGTACATAGAACTGTTTCTGTTAGCTCAACTTAAAAAAAAATTTAAGGTGATTTAACAAGAGTGATTCAAATGGATTGAAGGTGAAAAAAAATTAAAGCAGGTATGCCGGTACAAGAGAGACATAATGAGGGTATTGAACTAAGGAAACAGTAAAAACAGAAAGGGATAGATATATTTAAGAGTGATATAGAAGTAGAACTGTAAGAGATTATAATGTGATTAGAAACAGGAGTGACTGGAGATAGGGGTCTGGGGAAAATGAAGGAAATTATAATTTGGTAGGATTCAAAAGCAAGAACATTAATTCCATTAACAGAAACAAGGAAGCATAGAAAGATAGGTTTGGGGTAGAGATGATGAGTTTTGTTGTATACAACTAGGAGGTGTCAGTAAGCACTTGAGAATGGAAGGTTAAGAACTCAAGAGGTTTTAGAAGGAGTTGGGCAACAGGTGGCAAAGACGGGTGGTAGGGCCAGATGTGTTAGTCATTGAGAAGATAGATGAAGCCATGACATGAGAAGGATGAACTCACCAAAGGTAATAGTACGAAGGGAGAAACAAGCCTAGTATGGGGCCTTAATCACATAATAGGCAAAATATGAAATACTATTATCACCTCTGAATATATCTTTGTATGAGGCTCTACAAATCTAAGAAAAACAAAGAGTAAACTATCATTGACATACCTGTACCACATTCCTGTTCATCTCCAAGGATTCTGTTGTTTGTAGATGTTAAAACGATATTCCTTAACCTGGCTGGTCCACTTTGGAAAGAAAAAGAATTCTCAAAATCCAAACTGTTTTTAAAAAATTAAATCACTCTCCAAGAACTATTATAATTTTTTCTTATACATTAAAAATTAATAGAGATGAGAGCATGCCAAGAGAGTAATACTTGCTGAAAAAGTTTTACTTCCATAACTGGAATTAAATGCATTTGTATCAACAAACTCAATGCACTGAAAATAATAGAAACTGGATTAGAAAAAAAAATTCACATTGAAAATCTCTGGATAAAAGTTTGATATACAAGACATATTAGGGAACTGATACAAACATATAAGACCAAGAAATAAGTGGTCCAAAATTATAAGAATATGAAATACAAATTCTCAACAACCATATGCAAAATTCTCTCTATTAATAAAAGGAATGCAAATCAAAGGAACTATGAGGTTGCACTTCAAACTAATCAACTCAGCAAATTTGACATAAATGCTGTATGGAGGAACTGTAGGAAGAGAAGGAATAGAGAAATATTTGGAAATGACAATTATCTTTTAAAATATGCATTAAAATTTCATAATTGGCTGTCATACCAGATAAATGTCATGCTTTATGACTTTTAAGCTTATGTTTAATTTATCTTTATCTCTTCCCTCCCACCTACTATACTATATCATACATGCCTAGTCAAATGCTTCAATACACTACGGAGGTTACAAATAATTGTCAAGGGTTATGTCATTGAGAATGGGCTCTAATAGTAGTAGGTTCTACCATGATGAAAAGCAAAGTCTTCCCAGCCCTTGAAACTACTTTATAAGGGACAGCCTAGCTAATTAAAAAAGCCTTTATCACCACTCACTGGCTGCCCACTAGGAAGCCTAAAATCAGAAAATGTGGCAACACATCAGAAGCATTCTCAATGAAGGCATAAGAAGGAAACAGCCAGACTTTTACAAGTGTTATTCCACAGTGGATCATAATTTTACAGTTGCACAACTGGCTAACTGTGGAATTAAATAAAAGTTCCAACTACATTTACTGACTAGAAAAAGGCACATGATTCGGCAGAACAAAATGTCACTTTTCCCCAGCAAAATATCTCCCATAAATATAACAAAATGACACAAGATTTTTTGAAAGATAAAGAGCAAAGATAACTTTTGTTCAGTGACCCTCGGATTATTAATATTAAGTGAGGAACAAAAGAGAGAGGTTTTATGCTCACCAATTATGATTAACAGTATTTGGGAGGATGTCCACAGTATAGTCCAAATGGAAGACACCCTGTAGAATGAGTTCTTCTAAATATTGCTATTTAAGAACCATACTGTTGTTAACTTCAAGCCCCAAAACACTGCAAAACCTCCTAAATTGGATGCATAGTCACTCAAAAGAGTTCAGCCACACACAAACTCATTATGTCAAGAAGCCATATGGACAAACCACTGAGCTGTTACATCTTAGAAAAACCCTGCAGAACAGCAAAAATCTACACACAGAATTGGTAAGGAAAAGGAGAACGACCCTATTGCCACTGGGAAGTCATGAAGTGCTTTTAAGGAGGGTGAAACATGGCCTCCTCTTTTCAAAATCAATCTTCTGGCTATAGAATAGTCATGGAATATCACAATCTCTTAACAACCAGGTGCAGGTCAAGCAAATGGTTAATGGAGTGACAAATGGTAGGCATCAAATAGGCAGCAACATTTTGCCAAAGAAGAATTGAATGAGCCCTTCTCAGCAACACAAGAATCTAAGACATCTCCAAAAGTCTCATGACGGAAAATGTTATCCACATCCAGAGAAAGAACTATGGAGTTTGAATGCAGATCAAAGCATACTATTTGCTCTTTATTTTTCTTCTGTTTTGTTTCGTTTCCTCTTTCTTGTGCTTCCTCCTATTGGTTCTAATTCTTCCTTACAACATGACTAATGTGAAAATATGTTTAATAGGAATGTATACATAGAGCCTATAACAGATTGCACACCGTCTTGGGGGGAGAGAGAAGGAGAAAAATTTAAAACTCAAAAGTGTATGGAAGCGATTGTTGAAAACTAAATTAACAAAAAAATTATAATATTTAAAAAAAGAATTGAATGGAAAAAGCAATATGAAGAATATAATCGAGGATATGTATGACCATAAAAGGGAAAATTCAATCACATAACAAGAGTGATGGATAAACAATACAAAGTCTGAGCACTCCCTTGGTAACCATAAAAATGTCAAAAGATATAGAACAAAATTCCTGTATAAGGATATGGACAAGAGATGCATAGGATGAGAATGCATAGCTGGGTTGTAGATGTCCATGAATGACAGAAGTACCCACATCATTGAGATCATAGATCCACGAAAATAACTATCTAGTTATGATAAAAATGAATCAATTCTGAAATCACTAATATGAAAAATTAGATTTGACACAAAGTCCATTTGTCATACGCAATCTATATCACTTTTAGATGAAATGTAAGAGTTTTAACTAAAACAAAATGGCACTGCTTTAAAGCATTCCATGAAAGCACAATTTAATAACTTAACATAAAAACTGAAAATACATCACACATTTTTTTTTCAAAATCATATTTTCAACCTCTATAGTGTTTAAAAAACACAGATCCAAATAAAGCTTAAAATCTAAATCCCAACTTCTGAATTTAAAGAGTTGGTCACAAGCGGTCCACATAATCAACTCCTACCTTCTTTTCTTTCAATTGGGTACACTCAGTCCCTCTTGCCAACTTACAACCAACCTGTCTCCCTCCTCTAAACATTTAGTCAATCTCCAGTATCTTTTGCCGATATAGCAAAATTTATGACAAGCTTGGTCAGTCCCTCTAAAGCATTTAAAAATGAAACCATAATTTAAATTCACTAAATCAGAGAGATCATACTATTGGACATCAAAGGACAGGCTAATTTTAATTATCTAGTGACCAATACCTTTCTTCCATGGTTGAAGTCACAAAGGTTTTAGAATCTGATGTTGGCATTGTTGGTGTCAGATTAACATTTTGAACATCATCAATACATTCCTTAGGGGGTTCTGCAGAACTGTAGAAATAAAAATTTTAAACTGCTCATACATACAAAACCAAACAAATACACTATGCATGATAAATGACATTTTATCATCTTATCCATTCCTTTCCTCCCTGGCAACTAATGTTCAGTATACTCTATGATGGGTACTCTGCTCTGGTTATAAAGATCAGAGTCAAATAAAGAAGGAGTCTTGATTCTGGGATCTTCAAGGCGGCTTCATCTTCAAAAGGGTAAGAAATATTTAGAGATTTGATCTTAAATCAGGATCTGGTAAGAAATGAAGGCTATACAGGTAGTTTTATTCTGCTTGGGTAGTTACTAGAAATGTTCCAGGCCTGTTATGTTTATTCCCCATTAAAGTGAAGTGGCCATTTTTCATAGGGAAATTCAATTCAATTCAGTTTAACAAACATTTAATATTAAATATCTATCATAAGCAAAGTACTGTGCTAAGGAATGGGGCACAAAAATGAAAAACAACAGCCCCTGCTTTTAAGTCTAACAGGGTGTATACAATACATACACCAAAGAAAAAAAGTATAGATATGGAAGAAGAAAAGGACATGTTGTGTGCAGCTTTATTTCAAACTGATTTATTTTCACAGATGAGAAAACTGATATATAGAGACATTAATAAAGTAACCAATTCAAGCAAGTTAGCGTCAAGGTCAGGACTTGATCCCAGGGCTTCTGATTTCAAATCTAGTTCTTACTGTTTCTACTACAATAGGCTAAGGTATATGGTCAATATACAAACTTACATCACTTAGCATTTCCTAGTTTTGATACAATTAAAGCTCATCGCCTATCAGAAATATGTTCAACTTGATCATTAAAGTGCTATGTTTTGACAGAATAAACTTTTCAGACAAGTTGTTCTTTTTGAATACTATAAAAGGTAATTTGGCAACTACAACTTTTGAAATTTAAAGATACCTAAGAGAAAAATTGTGTAAAAGTAATTTAAAAAAATTTTTTGAGTTTTGACTGAAATATTGTTTAAAAAATCCTTTTTATTAAAATAACCAAATGTATGTTTTGAATTAATATATTGACTCTCAAGATTATACTGGATAGAAATTATAATAATATTGTCTTTAAAACTATATTCAAATAAATCATCTAGCTTTCCTGAAAATTAGATAAACTGAGTCCCAGTAGATCAGAAATCCCATGATGGAGTCATCATCCTATGAATTCTATGATTCTTGTTTCAGCTCTGCCACTAACTAGCTGAAAGACCAGGAACAAGGTCACTTTCCCTCTCCCTGTCTGTTCCACATCTACAAAATAAGGGTCTTTGACTAGATGATACTGAATAAAGTTAGTTCCAGCTCAAAAACTGTGATTCTTTTAATTATCAAAGGGAAGTCTAGTTTCAGTTCTTCAAAAGCAAAAGGTAAGGACTCAGATGCATACTCCCATAATTTAACTTCTGCTTGCCTGACTAAAAAGGGTTAGCAATTACACTATAAGAAAAAAAAATTTCATAAATAATTTAAACAGAACTTTTAAAAGATTGTAAAGGCTTTCCATATAAGCCAGAGGAGAGAGTGTGCCTACTAGAAAAAGCTTAGCTAAGCTTAGGAATTAAGAGACTCAACACCAGACTGGCAACAGAAGATATGACACATGTGCATATATACAAATATTCACATGCAAATATATATACATCTACACATACACACATATACAGATATGACATACACATGTACCAAATATATACACATTTTTCTACTATAAAAAGTACTGCTATATTTTTATTATATGCATACACGCATATGTACATATGCATATTACTTAGCCAATAAATATTAAATGCCTACTATGTGCCATTTTGTTTTACCACAAAAAGTACTGTTATATTTTGAAATTATTATTGTACATATATACACATACAAAACACCTTTCTGTCTTTGACTTTTGGGTGTTCTACCATAAAAAGTACTTCTATAATTTGATTTGATTTACACACACACAATTTTTTTCCAATGTTATTTTAATGTATTAATTTTTTGGTGCATTCCTTTAGAATGTGTAAAAATAACACTGTCAGAAACTACCAAATCTTATGTAAAATCCTGTTTTAGTCTGAACTGTAACTTGTAAAAAACAAAAAGCACCAATAAACTTTTCCAAATAAAATAGTTATGAGTTTGGGTTGAAGTCCAATACATAAAATACACATAATGAACATCTACTGCTTTTGGTGAAAGCTGTCCTTGCAAGAAAATATAAGAAAATGTTCCATAAATATCCGTAACTAAGCTTCTTATATGTTATTCATGGTCTGATAATTTCATAACCATGTCATATTAAGTGATGGAGACCTCCTAAGAGTCAAGAGACATGGATTCTAAAGCTGACTGAGCCAGTAACATGTTACATGAGCATAGATAAGCCATACACCTAGGCTTCAATGTTTGACTCTATTTCTAAGGTCAGATATCATTTTAAATAATTCATAAGCCAAATCATCAATTGCCCCAGGAGTCAGAGACCTTGGCACAAATCCCACCAACATTTATTTACCACTTATGGACCTTGGGCATGTCACTGAACTGCCACAGGCCTCAGTTTCCTCATCTGTAAAAGAAAGGTACTTAACTAGATGAACTCTTGAGGGCCCTTCCACCTCCAGAATCTAGATCTATGAACCAATGATTTTATTCAGAAAAAAATTTAATCTAAACAATATTTAAATGAGTAATTCTTTTTTTTATGTCTGTAATATAGGATTGTAATTAATAGCATAGGCATCAGGATATCTAGGTCCTATCCCAGCTTTGCCCCCTAACTTGCCAAAAACAAGGTCTTTGTCTTGACCTTGGTTGCCAATCATAAAATAATGCCTGTCCCACCTATCACACAGTATTATCAAAACATCAAATGAAATACCTGATATGAACATGTTAAAATTCCTAGAAATAAACTATCTGTAAGCTCTGAAGCTACATTAAGGTTATATCAAATAAGTAAAATGTACCTTTAGCTGAAAGAAAAAAAATGTTGAGATTGCATCAGACCAATTATAAGAAACATTGTATAAATAATGGATATTACCTAGAACAGGCAGCATTTTTCTTTTTTGGAGTTTCTTTCAATGAATCTTCTTGTTCATCGAGTTTGGGAACTGTGTGTGCCATATCACAATTTTCATCACTTGAATATGATAATTTCTTTCTCTTTTGTTTGTTTGGAATAGATGCTTCTTTTGGCTTGGCACAAATAGATGATTTCTGTCGTTTGAGTGAAAGAGTTCCTTTCTCCAAAGTCTTGATAGGTATCTTTTTTGTTTCTTTAGATAGTTTGGGTTTTTTTTTATTGTTTACTGGTAACTCCAAAGCAGGACTATAAAACAGATTACCTAAAAAATGTAAGGATAATTTGAAATTAACAAGAGATTGTCAACAGGAACACAAATGGTTTACATTTATGCAGCACTTTATAGTATTTGTAGTACTCTACATTGCAAATCAGTTCTTGAGGTAAGCATGATTTAGAGTAGGGGTGGAGAATCTGCGGCCTCAAGACATGTGGCCTTATAGGTCCTCAAATGTGGCCATTTGACTGAATCCAAACTTCACAAAACAAATCCCCTTAATAAAAAGATTTGTTCTGTAAAACTAGGACTCAGTCAAAAGGCCACATCCAAGGACCTCAAAGGAGGCCACATGTGGCCTCAAGGTCACAGTTTCCCCACCCCTGGTTTAAAAGAAAGAGCAACGGATAATGATTCTAAAGCCATTGGCGCAAGTTCCAGTTGTGCTGTCTACTAGTCATATGCAATTGGGCAAGTCACTGTCTATGAACCTTAATTTCATCATTACCTATTATTGCAAATGTTATTACCTACCTTACCTACCTCACATGATAGTTGTATGTCTCAAATGACCTAATAAATGTGAAAAGCACTCTGAAATAGGCAAAATACTATCCAAATATGACATTCAATTCAAAATATTTCTTAAATACCTACTGGATACAGAGAATTGTGATGAGCTAGGCTTGTTAGATCTATTATTATTCATGAAATAAAAGAGCCTCAAAAAAATTTTGAAAAAAATAGCTCTTCAATTTTTTTGTCATTAAGAATCTTTAAAGCTGCAAAGTCTCAATTAGGGGGAAAAAAAAGGAAATGAAATATTCCAACTTCAGTACTATTACATTACAACTTCAGCACTGTTACTAAGTTCTTCAAGGTGCCCATTTACCAGAACATTTGTTCATCCAGCTGCCTTGGGGAAAATTTTTAGGAAATTTAGGGTATGAAAATGAATCTACAAAGTAAGCAGGGAGAATACCAATCACAATAGAAAAAAATAAGGATCCCCATCTCTACAGTCATATTACTCAGTTTCAAAGTAGTCACAAACTATAACTTGCTGATAATTCTGAATTAAATGTTAGATTCCTCTCTAGAGTTAAACTATGAAAACTACCTTACCTTCCCCCTCACTCTAGCCCAGATAACTTGTGCATATGGCTATTACAGTGGATACCACATCTTCACATCACATAACATTTTTGTCTAAACTACTTAATTTAGATAATCAACACAAACAAAAAACTAATAAAACTAGGCGACTAATTAAAAACCTTTCAAGACAACTCTGAACATTGTATTTTTCATGTAATTATGTCCTACCTCCCTAAACTGAATACTATTTCAGCAACAAGAACTTACTCTTTTTTATATCCTACCTACACCTAAGAGTACCTTCAAAGAGCAGGCACTCAAACCATATTTGTTCACTTCAGCAGCTATAAATTTGTTTTTATAGCAAGTACAAAGAGCAGATGATAATTTAAGCTCTTAAATTCTTGTAATGCACATAGATTTAACAGATTAGCTTTGGTAGAAAGACTGCCTAAAGAATTATGGACGGAAGTTCACAATATTGTACAGGAAGCAGTAACAAAACATTCCAAAGAAAAAGAGGAGCAAGAAAGCAAAATGGCTGTCTGATGAGCCTTTACAAATAGCTAAGGAAAGCAAAGAGCAAAGGAGAAAGGAGAAGATATACCCAATTGAATGCAGAATTCCAGAGAACAGTAAGGAAAGATAAGGATGTTTTCTTAAGTAAGCAGTGCAACGAAATAGAGGAAAATAGAATGAATGGGAAAGACAAGAGATCTCTTCAGAAAAATTGGAGAGGCGAAGGGAATGTTTTATGCAAAAATAGGCAAGGTAAAATGACAAAAATGGAAGAGACTTAACAGAAGTAGAAGAGTTTAAGAAAAGGTGGCAAGAATATACAGGACTACACAAGAAATATCTTTACATCACTGATAACACTATGGTGTGGTTACTGAGCAAGAGCCATACATCATGGAAAATGAAGTCAAGTGGGCCTCAGGAAGCACTGCTAACAATAGGGGCTAATGGAAGTGATAGAATTCCAGCTAAACTATTTAAAATCCTAAAAGATGATGCTATGAAAATGTTGCAACTCAACATGCCAACAAATTTGGAAAACTCAACAGCAGCCACTGGATTGGAAAAGGTCAGTTTATATCCCAATCCTAAATAGGAGCAATGCCAAAGAATGTTCAAACTACTGAACAACTGCACTCATTTCACATGCCAGCTAGGTCATGACTAAGATTCTGCAAGCTAGCCTTTATCATCAATATGCGGACCAAGAATTAATAAAAGTACAGCCACGTTTCAAAAAGGTGGAGAAACTAGAGACCAAATTGCCAACATTCATTGGGTTATAGAGAAAGCAAGGGAGTTCCAGAAAAACATCTACTTCTGCTTCACTGACTACACTAAAGCCTTTGACTATGTAGAACACAACAAAATGTGGCAAGTCCTCAAAAAAGATGGGGGTACCAAATTATCTTACTAATCTCCTGAGGAACCTATATGCTCCTCAAGAAAAAACAGAACCGAAAACTGAAAACAACTGGTTCAAGATTAGGAAAGGAGCACAACAAGGCTGTATGTTGTTACCTTATTTAACTTATATGCTGAGTATATCATGTGAAATGCCAGGCTGGATAAATCAAAAGCCAAAATTAAGACTGCTAGAAGAAATATCCACAATCTTAAGATACACAGACAATACCACTCTGGTGGCAGAGAATGAAGAAGAATTAAGAAGCCTCTTGGTGAGGGTGAAAGGAGGAGAGTGCAAAAGCTGGCTTGAAGATTAACATAAAAAAAAAAACTAAGATCATAGCATCTGTTCCACCACTTCCTGGAAAATAAAGGGAGAAGAAATGGAAGAATTCTAAGATTTTCTATTCTTGGTTTCAAAGACCACTGCAGACAATGACCACAGCCATGAAATTAAAAGATACTTGCTCCTTGGAAAAAAAGCTATGGCAAATCTGGTGAGAATGCTAAAAAGCAGACACATCACCTTGCCAACAGAGGTCCATATGGTCAAAGCTATGGTTTTTCCAGTACTAATAGGACTGTGAGGGTTGGTCTATAAGGAAAGCTGAGAGCTGTAGAATCGAAGCTTTTGAATTACGGTGCTAGGGAAGACTTTTAAGAGTCCCCTGGACAGCAAGGAGATCAAATCAGTCAATACTTAAGGAAACTGGACTATTCATTCGAAGGACAAATACTAAATGAAGTTGAAACTTAAATACTTTGGCCACATAATATGACAGAAGTCATCAGAAAAACTCTGATGCCAGGAAAAATTGAAGGCAAAAGGAGGGGATGGCAGAAGTTGAGATAGACAGTGTCATGGAAGCAATGAATATGAGCTTAGACAGACTCTAGGAGACAGAGGAGGACAGAAAGGTGTGAAATTGAAAAATTCAACCCCACCTTATTTTGTATTACTTATTGACAACTGTATCTAATCACTAGAATCAACACTTCTGGATCAGATTTAGCTTTGGTTGCACAGGCCTTAGTACTAGAGTTTGTAAGAGTTTAACTTCCCTACCCTTATGGGCTAAAGCCTGGATTCAATTTATGTTACCTCAGAAGGAAGGAGGGGGGAAAACAGAAGATGAGCTGACCTGACCTAGTCATAAGATGTTTTGCCTAGTACCAGACCACTCTAGTGCCTGACAAAGGACTGTCCCACAGGATGTTAGTCAATTTTGTGTTTTCCCCATTGTCATGTGTCCTTGAGATCCCCTCTTGTGAATCAGGCCAAACTTAAGCCTGCCTTTTACCTCTGCAATACACCAATTACAGCCTTAGTTTAGTTTTCATTACAGAACTAGTTTTGCCACCTCATACAATCTGTTATCTTTTCCCTGCATAAAAAAGAACTGCTCTGGCTATCAATGGCATCCTGGGCTATTAAAGAAGCCATGGATCCCATTTATTGGCAATTGCTAGCCTTCCTAATAACTTGATCATGCTCAGAATTTTGTGCCTCGGTTTCTCTTTATTGCAAAGTTTTTTTTGCAACAAGGGCCTGACACGCTATGGTCCATTGAGTCACAAGGAGTCAGACACAATTGAACAACAAAAGTGTGCCAGGCACTGAGCTAAGGACTAGGGATACAAAAAGAGGTAAAAGACAGTTCCAGCTCTTGAGGAGTTCACAATGTAATGGGGAAGACAATATGCAAATAACTAAATATAAACAAGCTATACACAACATAAATTAGCAATAATCAACAGAGGGAAGGCACTAGAATTAAGAGGGATCAGGAAAGACTTCCTGTAGAAGGTGAGATTTTAGTTGGAACTTCAAAGAGGGTAGGGAAGCCAGGAGGTATAGATGAGGGGAGAACATTCCAGACACGGAGGCAGCCAGTAGAAAAAAAGCCCAGAGTTAACAGATGCAGTGTCTTTTTCAAGGGACAGCAAAGAGGTTATTATCACTGAACTGAAGAGCACATTTGTGGAGGAAAAGAGAGGGCAGTAAGGTAAGCAGTTAGAAGACTGCAACCAAAGGGAGATGGGAGGGAGGATGGGGCAGGACAGAGTAGGTTAGAAAGAACTTTGAAGGCCAGAGGATTTTACATCCAATCCTAGAGGTCATATGGAGAGACGGGAGTCCTCTAGTACAAAGGCAAGAGCTAGGGAGGAGAGGAAAACAGTGAGTTACATAGTAAAATTTACTGGGGGAAAAAAAAAGGTAGAATGATTTTGTGGCTAGTAGACAACAGTCACTATAACTTGTATAGAATGAAAAAGTGTGATAAAATTTCAGAGAAGAAGCTGCTAAGTAATGTTAAGTATAGGGACAGCAGGAAGTATTATATCTCCCCCTCCAAAGTTAGTGTGTCAGATGAAACAATATAGCATGAGTTGGAGAAGATGGCCAGGGATGCACGGTCATATGCAGGAAACCAGGTCTGAAGGAGTACAAGTAGATGAAAGGAGCATGAAAGGAAGAAAGCCAGAATAGAAGAAATTTTGTTCATTATGAAACAGCAATACTTACTCTGTTCTGCTGTAACTACCCACCAATTAGATGGACGCTTAGAAATTCGCTGACTTCTAGTAACAGTGACCTTTGGAGATTGGTTTTGTTTCAGTATAATTTCTCCCTTCTTAGACATTTGTTGGTTTTTAGATGCCATCTTATTTAAATGTCCTTTTTTCTGAATTTGTTGAGAAGTACCATTGTTGTTTTTTCCTTTTCCTGAAATTAAGCAGCATGAAAAAAATAATTCATATTTTATTGAACAGGGGATTTTTCAGAAAGTGGGAAAAAGACATAAGACAACTCGGGACATAAAAACTGAAATTTTTTTTAAATCCAACCTTTAAGTTTTGATTTTGTCTTCATAAAGGAGAATTAAATTCTCTGTAAAATTACCAGTTACCAAACTTTAACAGCAAATTTTCATGGTTCATATTTACAAAAAAAAAATTTTGATAATCAATATTTACTTCCATACCATAAAAAAAATATTCTTAGGAACAAATAAGAAATGAGATTTTTTCCTATTATTACACTTTAAGTAAATTAGCAGAGAATTTTTTTAAAAGCAGAGTTTTGTCCAGCTTCACTCTAGGTAGATGAGATGTGTGATTTTTCCAATTTGCATTTATGTTTCTATGTGTATGTTCAGTGTTTAGCAGTGTTTTGCACATGAGTACTTGATAAATGTTTTTTTTTATTCTTTCCATAAAGAGAGGCTCACTTATAGACTGAGAAAAGAGAAATTGGTAGGGGCAGCTAGGTGGCACAGTGAATAGAGCACCGGCCCTGGATTCAGGAGGACCTGAGTTCAAATCTAGCCTCAGACTCATAACACTTACTAGCTGTATGACCCTGGGCAAGTCACTTAACCCCATTGCCTAGCCAAAAAAAAAAAACAAAAAGAGAGAAATAAATTAGAGAATAATGACACAATTTAAATAGAGGAAATGAAAACAATGATTGGCATAAGTTGACAAGTTATAAAGACTATAAATCAACTAAAACAAAAAAATTAATCCACCAGTGATGCAAAGGATAATTAAAAAAGGAGCAGAGAAGTTTAAGGAAGTGATATATATAAAACCACCAAGTAAAAGAAAAAGATAATTTTCAGCTGTACCATTTTAGCTGATAAAAACCAAAGATGAGAGAAAGCAGAAAAGATCATTCTACTTTAAAGTTCGCCTATAACCTAGAATTTGTGTATAATGACATAGCAAGACAGAGATTGGCATATAGAGTTCGTCTGGACAAACAAAAGGAAGAACTTCACTACCAAAACTTTTTTAAAAAATATTTAATGAGCATGTAATATGTGGTTAACATTATATATGCTAGACCATTCAGGATATGAGAAAAATTTTAAAATAAACACTACCCATATGAATCTTACGTTATACACATGAAACAAGTAAAAAGATTCAAATGGCAAAATTATGCACTGATATGACAAAATGTTAAGAAGTGTAACATACATAGTATAGTCTTAAAATGTTTGCTAGATTAAACTGCATGTTATGAACACAAAAGAAGTTAGAGTTAGGAGAGATCAATAATGAAAAGATATATAACACAGTCACCACCTTGATAAAAGAGTTGGAACTTGTCTAAAAGGGAAATGTAAAACTAGGATGGTGCCTGGATTTGGGTGACTAGAGATTACTGAAGGAAAAAAAACAGCTCTAAAGCAACAGTGAGTTAATTATGATAAGGTTACCACTTAGTAGTAAGTGGATCCATTAAAGATGCTATAGTACTAGATAGGGACTACTTCATATTTTCTTTTTCCTTCTCTCATCTTTCTCTCCAAATCCTTACTTTTTCTATTCCCCAATTACCTTTATTCATTGCTTATCCTTCTTCCCTATGCCTTAGATTAGTATGTGGAACCCACAGATTCTGCTCCAGCATATTAACGCTGTACATAAGCATTAAAGAATTTTTAAAAAAAACAATTAAAAATTATGACTGAAATAAGACAAGAAAATATTAATCAAATGTGCAGAACAGTTTTTAAAAACATGAAAAGGAGACAGCCTAGAAAACGAAAATACTAAGGGCAGCTAGGTGGCGCAGTGGATAGAGCACCAGCCTTGAAGTCAGGAGGCCCCAATTTCAAATCTGGCCTCAGACCAAACACTTACTAGCTGTGTGACCCTAGGCAAGTCACTTAACTCCAACTGCGCCCCCCCACAAAAAAAGAAAAAGAAAAAAAGAAAATGGAAACACTATATTTCAACTGAAAAGATGTAGTCTCAAATCTTGGATTAGACACTTGGTCAGACTTAATGTATGACCATCAAGAAACCATGAGTTTCTTGAGAGCAGACACTGTCTTTTGCCTCTTTTCACATCCCTAACACTTAGCACTTATAGTAAGTGCTTAATAAATGTTTACTGACTACGAAAAAAAAAATGGTGTCTCCACAGACCCATTCAGACAATAATGCAGAAAGGAATGTCACTATAATGCAAAAGAAAGCTAACAATGTTACTTCAGGGACCAATTACAATTACAGATGGCTTAAGGACAAGGTGACAGAATCAGATCTAAGACAAAGATCAATAATAAGAATAGCACAGACACAAGTGATATTTACACAGCCAAAAATATAAAGGAGGGCTGAACCAGGACTGAAATAACAGCTAAGAATCACAACTGTTTGCCTTAGGGCCTTGAGAGGAACATGATAAACTGATCAAATGGAGCTGACATAGATAAAAGTAGGGATGATAGAGAAGGAAGGCCTAAAACTATTAACAGACATGATAAATTAGTGAACCATTCAAATTACTAGACCAGGAGTAGAAGTAACAAAAGGCAAATGAGAATCTCAGTGCCAATGTATAGAAAGGAAAGAGAATTTTCCAGTCACCTGAAAGATCATTATACCGCAAAAACTGGCCATTGAGCTCAAATTTGTAATTTTATGGATGAGAAAACTGAAGTGAAGATGTTAAGTAACCTGCTCAAGATCACATAACAAGTGACAGAGGCAAAATAACTGTGCTTCTGTCAATGCCAAATCAATCAAACAAGAAACAGGAAATATCTATTTGCAAGGCACTGAGCCAGACAGCACAGAAACAGAAACAAAAAAAGTTCACATACTATTAATGAAGAAAACATATACAAATAAGCACATACAAAATACACACAAAATAAATATATGATGGGGAGAGGATGATGACACTAAAACTAGCAGCTGTGGGAGGGGGAAGCATAAGAAAGCCTTCACGTACAATAACAATAGATAAGTTTTGAAAATACCTTGGGATTCTAATAGATGAAGTCAATGAGGAAATGCATCCCAGAAAAGATGTAAAACCAGTACAAAGGTAAGTTGATGGGAGATAAGAATGTCCTATGTGAACAACAGCAAGAAGGCCAGCTCAGCTGTATTACAGAATGCATAAAGAAGAATGTATTATAAAGCTCAAAAGGTAAGCTAGAAAACTTTCAACTGAAATAGCCATCAGGAGATTGAAGGAGATTAAGTGACTTTTAGCCAACATCCAGTAAGTCATAAGTGGCAGAACTAGGATTTTAATGCAAGCCCTCTGACTCCCAATTTATTGCCTTTCCACTGTACTATGATGCTTCTCATTCATACTGAGAAGGCTTTACTGGTTACTTTTCAGTCCTCCAATTCAGTTCCTGTTGGGCAAAGTGTGACTATACTTTCATCTTAGTATTTTCCCTACCATATGCGAACACTTACCAGCAGCAGACTGTGTTTGTTCTGCAGAGTGGCAAGATTCTGCTCTTTCTTCCCGTTTTCCTAAACTTCTGTCAGACTTCCTTTGTAACTCATCTTGATTTGTTTGTGACACATTACATCTTTTCTTCTTGGTCTGCTCTATGCCATGCTGCTTCACACCTACTTTGCACTTGTATTCTCTATTCTGACATTTCCTGAACTTTCTTCTCTCTGTAGTTTGTGATTTCTCCACTGAGTTAGTTTTGGATTTAGTAGTTCTTAATGCAGTATCTACTTCTGCAATATTTAGCTCACTGTGGAAACTATCTTGGTTTTCTTCAGCAAAATTAACTAGATCTTCATCAGACTGTCTATTATCTATTTGGGTCTCACACTTTTCATTCTGGTGCTGCACAACAGCCTTTTTATTTTCCAAAAATTGTTCTGATTCCTCAGAATATATTCTATGTCTTGTGGATTCAGAAGCATTTTCCATTTCACCAGATAAATTGTCTGATTTTTTTCTTTTAGAGGACTGTGATTTCTCCACTGCTCGAGTTTTATGTTTTACAGATTTTGAGGTCTTCTCTCCACTAATAACATCTGAAATTCCATTCTCTGCATCAGGGTGTTTATCACTTGCTGAGCTGCATTTTTCTCCTTTCTGTTGCTCTATCCTTGACTTTTTTCTTTCTGGGTCCTGGGAGTTCTCCACTGGGGTTGTCTTGCTCTGTTTTGCAGACTTGCTATTCTTGTTAGGTATTAAAATCCAGTCTTGAGAGAAAGAGCAATCTGATTCATCAATTATAAATTCATCATTTGATGATTCTAAGTCATTTGAAAAGGGGGAAGGAGAACGGATCTGTGGCGATGACACATGCCTAAGGACAGAACTAACAGGGAATATTGTGTCACATTAAAAAAAGTTTAAAGACAAAAAAAAGCACTAAACTGTATCAGAAAGATAACATATTCAGAACACAAAATTTATCCATCCTTTTAGAATCAGAACAAAGGTCATTTCTCACATGCTGCGTTCCTGATCCTCCCCATCACCACAGCCTCCCTAGTCAAAAGTATTCTTCTTCTTCTTCAGGTCTCAGAAAGCATGTTTAACATCTCTTATGCTCTTATATTCTATTCTGAAACATAATTAATAATAACAACTGAGGGGGTAATCTGGAAAGGCTTGTAAAGGAGGTGGCAGTTAAGTTGAGCTTTGAAGACAGACAGGAATTCCAAGAGGTAAGCGTGAAGAGGGAAGGCAATCCAGACATAGGACAGCCTGTACAAAGGCATGGAAGTGAGTAATAATGTAGCATGTAGTACAAGCAAGTAGGGTAGTTTGGCTGAAATACAGAGTATACGAGGTAGAATAAAGTGAAACTGATTTGGAAAAATGGGCTAGAGGCAAATTATGAAGGTTTTTAAATGTGTGTATTTTATCCTAAAGGCAACAGGGAACCCACTAAAGTTTCTTATTGTCATTATTTTTTTGGGCTAGGCTATGGGGTTAAGTGACTTGCCCAGGGTCACACAGCTAGTAACTGTTACGTGTCTGAGGCCAGATTTGAAGTCACGTCCTCCTGAATCCAGGGCTGGTGCTCCATCCACTGTGCCACCTGACTGCCCCACCACTAAAGCTTCTTAAACAGAGAAATGGCATGGTCACACCTGTACTTTAAAAATAACAATTAGTGGCTGTATGGAATATAGGAACATAAAGAAACTAAAGGCAAGGGTTCCTATACATTTAGTTATTTTTTATGCATTTCTCTCCCTCCATCCAACCCATAATGGAAAGAATGATGTTAATTATATTCCAATATCCAGACATTTGGGAGCCCTCTGCCAAAAGAAGAGGTGCTAATAATTTCTTGCTGTGTTTTAATGACAGTTTCATCCTACAGTGGAACTACCAAACAAGAGGAAATTCTACTATAGAGATTCTTATCAATAAGAAAAAATTGGTTTGCTAGAACTAAAATGATGGAAACCTTGAATGGGAAGTAACCACTCCATCTTAATAGATATGACAGGAAAGCTGGACATAATTTGATATAAACTCTAGATTTTAAGAACACGAATTTCAAAGGGTTAAAAGAAAGATGAGATTTCATGACCCAAAATTCAATAATGGAAGTTCTTAAGAACAAAATGAAGAATTTCCAAACTGGTGAGAAGGAAACAATTCCAATTGAGAAAAGGCATGGTCCAAGTGAAAGGAAAACTATCTTTAGGGTCAGGAGACCTGGCTTTATATCCTGCCTCAGAAACTTATTAGTTGCTTCATCTGTACTAACTCATTTAACACCTAGGAACTCAACTGTCTCATCTATAAAATGAAGTTGTTTCACTAAATCACTGTACTGAGGCAAAAAAGTCCTAAGACCTTAGGCCTGGAATAGTCAGTTTTATTGAGGATATGGAGCTTGTGCTGTGCTCACGGGTGATTAGGATGGCATGGGATAAAATGAATATGATTTTAATAGGTGGAATGGAGAAAGGGCAACAGTAGTCAGAGAAGATGGCAGAAAGAAAAAAAAATGGCATGTTTGGCATGTTTATTATGTTTATATGTAAGACAGGTAGGCAAACAGGAAGAAAAAGCCTAACTGCTTCTTGAATTCAAATCAGAAGACTCAGAGGAACTACATCTTTGAGTGCTGAAATAAATGGCAAATATGATTACTAAGCCACTGCCAGGGATCACTAGAAGACTATGTAGAATTAGACAAATACTATAGGATTATAAAAAGAAAAATACTGTCCCAATTTCCAAAATATAGAAGAGAATGGAATTCTCCAACTTTAGGCCAGCTAATTTAACTTTTAATCCTAGCAAAATTCTAGAATATGTTGCTAAAGGGTTAGTGAATATCTGGAAAAGGAAGCAGTGATTACAAAGAATCAATATGGCTTTATCAAGAACACGCCAGAGTAAGTTATTTCTATTTCTGGTAAATCAAAGGAGTAGTAGCCAGATTTTATCACAGCACTATTGCTAAAGTTTCTTGTGGACAAGATGGAAAGATACGGGTTAGACAATAGTATAATTCCGTAGATTCAGAACTGCTGACCCAAAGAGTAGTCATTAATGTTTCAAAGTCAACTTGGAAGGAGGTCACCAGTGTAGTATCCTAGTGATATTTGGGCCTTAGAGCTTTAATGTTATGTTATGTGATGTCATGTTAAATCAAATTAAATTCATTTTAGTATCTTCTTGCATACTATTTTATATTGTTATTCATGTGCTTCAAGTCTTATCTGCCCAACATGATTATTAACTACTGAGAAGGTGAGGGAACACTGACCATGTCATCCCATCTTTTGTAGTCTCCATAATATCTAAAATAGTGGTTTTAAAAAAAAGTAAGCACTCAAAAATACTTGCTAAATTGAATACAGGAATTTTGTTCTCTTAGGCAAGTAGAAGGTTTCTCCTGAAATGTTTGTGCATTAATTTGCAGTATAAACTGATTGTTCCTATATAAAATGTAAAAAGCCTATTCGAAGTTTATTTCACAGATCAAAATAAAAGGAATTTTTTTTCCAATTCATAGCTTCAAGTAACCAAAATAACCATCTGTAAAATTAGATACTAAGCACCAAAGTACTTAATTCTGATAAGCAGACATATGCTTCTTTATGGAGTAATTATATAACTGTCATCTATTTAAATGGAGAAATCTCACATCTGTGCTGAATATATTATAAATTCATGTTATATAACATCAACTGGGCCCTTTTAAGTCCTCCTTAATTGACCTATCTCACCTTTGCTTCCACCCCTTCCTCAAGTTTCCCAAATCTCCCCCATCTCCTCTTCCTCATCTTAGCTGAGGACTTCACTTCTTACTTTACTGAGAAAACTGTGTTCATTCAAGTTTTTCCCAATCACTTGCATCTTCTTTCCTTTAGTAAAACAAGATAGATTTTGTCTTTGCCAAGGTCAACCTCTCTTCGTGTCTTTATTCCCACCCTATCTTGAGCAAATTGCAACATTAATCCCCCCTTTTCTCTAATCTTCAAGGTCTCTCCCTTTCTTTAAAAAAACTTCATACATCCTGCCATCATATCAAGCTATCATACTACCTCTCTACTACTTTCTCAGCCAAACTACTTTTTTAAAAAGTCTTCTACACAAACAGTTTCTACTTCTCTCCCTCACTTTTCAACATTTTGCAACTGGACTTCCGACCTCATCACTTCATGAAATTGCTCTCTCCCAAGGTAACAATGATCTTTTAATTGCTAAATCTAATGGTCTTTTCTCAATCTTTATCCAACTTGACCTATAACCAGCATCTGACACTGCTGACCAAGCTCTCTACGAAGATACTCTCACTCACATCTTTTGGTTTTTGTTCCACTAATCTCTACTGGTTCTTCTCCTAGCTTTCTGATTGCCCCTTCTCCTTTGCAGGCTCATCATCCAAATCCTACTTCCTAACTGTGGGCATTCCCCAAGGTCCTGTCCCAGGACTTCTCTTTTCTCTCTCCACTCTCTCAATAACCTCATCAACTCTCATATTTAACACTCACCTCCATGCCTATCAATCACAGATTGCTATATCTAACCCCAGCCTCTCTGAGCTGCAGTTCTGCAGCATGAGTTGCTTAGAGGACATTTCAAAGTGGATGAATCAGAGACAATTCAGACTCAACATGTAGCTGAATCCTATGTAATGGGAAACCACTAACGGCCCCCAAAGAACAGATAGTCAAATATACCCCTCTTCTTCTCAGCAGAAAGGTAGATGATTAGTAATCAGAAAAATACAAAAGTAAGAAACTCTGAAGTTCCACCTCACACTGAACAGATTAGCAAAGCTGGAAAAAAAAAATGACAAATGTTGAAGGTTATGAAAAAAATAGGTACGTTAATGTACTGTTGAGGGAGACACAAATTGGTCCAGTCATTGTGGAAAGCAATTTAGATGTGTGCCCCAAAAGTGATTTAACTACATCCCTAAAAGACAAATGGAATAACAATAATGATGATGATGATGACGATTAGAATTTTACAAGGCAAAATGCATATTTACTTAAGAATATGCAGATATAAATAGAGGTATATACCTATTGTGAAAGCTCCCTGCAAGCTGGGTTTTATTCTCTGTATGCTTAAGCAACAAATAGGATTTTACATAGCAATTTGTATGGCATCTCATTTAAGCCTCATAACAACCTAAGAAGCAGGTGCTATAATTAACTCCATTTACGGATGAAGAAACTGATTCTGAAAAGATTAAGTGACTTGCCCAGGATCACATAGCTAATAAGAATCTGAGGTATGTTTTAAATTTTGAATCCAGGTTTTCCTGATTATGTTATCTATCCATTGTTACATAGTAAGAGGAAAAGGACTCATACAAAATATTTTGAGCAATTTTTTTGTAGTGGCAAAGAAACAGAAATCATGATGGTCAAATTATGGTATATGAATGTAACACTACTATGCCATAAGAAATAAAGAAAAGGAATGTTTCAGAAAAAACTGGAAAGACTTACATGAACTGATGCAGAGTGAAGTGAGAACCACCAAGAGAACAATTTATATAACAACAACACTGTAACAACAAATATCTTTTAAAGACTCAAGAACTTTGGATCAATGTAATGATCAACCACAATCCCAGAGGAACTGTGAAAAATGCTACACACTTCCTAACAAAAAACCAATGGACTCAAGTTTCAGATTAAGATATCCATTTTTGGATACGGGCAGTGTGGGAATTTCTTTGGCTTTACAATGAATACTGATTACAGAAGTTTTGTTTGTTTTCCTTGTCCTTCCATGAGGGCAAGGAGGGAAAGAAAGTAAAAGTTTAAGCAAACAAAAAATTTTTCATTTTAAAAATAAAACAAGCAAAAGGCTTTTATGAGAAAGGCCTAGGTAGAGGTGGCTAGATGACAGTCTGGATAGAACCCAGGCCCTGGAGTCAGGAGGATTTGAGTTCAAATCTGGCCTCGGACACTTGACACTTCCTAGCTGTGTGACCCTGGGCAAGTCACTTAACCCCGATTACCTCACCAAAAAAAAAAAAAAAAGGCCTAGGGGCACTGGAAATCCATAAAATGGATACTCAGAGTGACCAGTAAAGCCAGTAACTAGTCTGGGCCATTCTAAACCCAAAGGCTCTGAGACACATAGCACTCTGTCCTCAGGTGTCATAGATGATCCTGAAGACTCAACAGGGACTAAAAACTACCAGCATTCAGCAATGAGAGTAAAGGTCAGCTCCAGTACCCACATGACCCAGGGTGAGATCAAGCAGAGCTTATCATCCCATACAAAAGCAAAGTGAAACGGGAGAAGAGAAGAGTCTGGCCTTGATGCAATATCCCAATACATGCCAAGGAACAAGAAAATAAAGAGACACCAGTATGAGCAAGTCAAAAAAATCACACAACAAAACAGTTTAAATGGAAAAGATTCAGTGTTAAGGTATAGAGGAAAATAAAAGTTGGACAGGTAGCATCAGGTAAGGTCATAAAGAATCTCAGTTTCAGATTGAAGGTTGAATGCTATATTATAGACAACTGAAAGCCAGAGGGTTTTTTTTTTTACAGAAAAGTACCACGATGGAACTGAAAGATTAGCTGATAAGAGGGGAATTTCATGCCTGTACTAGGAAAATGCACTTTGTTTTATCTCCACATCTCGCCTTCAGCCTCTGATGTCTGATGAGTAGTCAGAAAGATACTTTTCCTCCATCTGTAATTTAAGGGATTTTTAAAAGATATCCCTCATTTCTGCCTTTATGGTACCCTACCAATCCTCAAGGTTCAATTCAAATGCCACTACTTCCATGAAACCTTCAATGATCTTTCCCCTCCATAAACTAGAAATTCCACTTCATCTGACTGGAAATTTTCTTAGGTCATCCTTCTGTTCTAAATTGTATTCTACATTTTTAAAATTTTTATTTATTTTTAATTTATGGAACAAGCATTCCCAAAACATATTATAATTTTTTAAAAGTGACTACATGAAACTGCACATCTATTATGTATAACTTGCTATTCTTTTAAAATATATAAAAGTTATCATGTAAATTTCTTTTTTTTTCTCCCCTCTCCCTGCCTCCCTAGACATGGTTACTATTAGATACAAATATGTGTGATATATGTATATATATGTCTGTGTGTGTGTGTGTGTATACATACATATACATATACATACACACACACATATGTAAAATCATTCTACACCTATTTCTATTTATCAGTTCTTTCTCTGGATGCAGATAGTTTCTTCCTTCATATTTCCTTTGTAGTTAATTTGGGCATTTATACTAGTCAAAATGACTTATTCGCTCAGAGCTGTTCTTAAAACAATATTTCTGTTACTATAAACAATATTCTCTTGGATCTACATATTCATAAAAATATCTTATTACCCCTAAAAGACTGCAAGTTACTTGAAGGCAGAGGAATTACCTAATACCTTTAATACTCAGTATTTCTTTAATAAATGAATTTTCCCGACTTCTGAGTAAAAAAGAATCATGTCCTCACAGCAAAATTTACATTGCATTTTTACACTGAATTATCTGAAAAAAAAACTGAATTATATGCCAATTTTAGATGTTATAGAATTTTAAATAAAATATATTTATTTTTCATCTCAAATCATAATTGTTAACTCACCTGTTTCTACAGTTCCTTTTTGCTGCTTCTAAAAGTAAAGTTGAAAAATTCATTTCAGTTTTTTGTTGAATTTTCTGCTTTGGATCTTGTGTTATTTGCTCAGAAGATTCTGACTGTTTCCTCTTCTGTCGTCCTTCTGACACCTGAACATCTTTTTCTCCTTTCTTCACAGGAGACCAAACTGCTATATCTTCACAGTTTAAGCTATGGATTACAAAAAGTAAAATGCATATATGTATATATGTGTGCGTGTGCGTGTGTGTGTGCACGTGTGTAACTTGTGAAAATGTGTCTGTGTGAATATTCAAAAGCAAAGATCAGAATTTTAGATAATACCATAAATTTTATTTCAGAACTTCTCTGAACATTGAAATTATTCTCTCTACAACTACACCGTAATCCAATTATTAAAGGGTATACTAAATCTTTATTTTAAATTATTTTTTTTTAATTTTCAAGCTTTTGCACAACACATGCAGCCAAAATGCCACAGTTCTTTTCTTCTGTACCACAACTTTAAGCTCCAATTGATTTTCATTCAAAGGTCTCATTCTTTCTTCCTATGGAAGAACTTTAAGACACTAATATAGAAGTATTACTTTTTTTCCTCAAAATCTGTTATTATAAAAGACAAAATGTGAAATGAAAATGCCATTTGAGAAGCATAAAAAGGTTACCTCTTTTTAGTTTTAAGACTCGATTTGGGAAGCAAAGGTTGTTGGATGACTGAATTTTGAAACACCCGGCTCCGTCTATCTTGTGTAGTAGGAGTAGCTTGCTGAGGTAATGGTAACATCTCTGTTTCCTTGGCCAAAAGACCTGGTGATCCACCTGTTAAATAAAATTCTTCCAGAACTTCATTAGGAATTTTATTAAATTCTTCAGCTCCACTTGAAGTATATCTTAATTTTGATGTATTCGTCAAACCAATTACATCACCTCGTGATAATTTTTGAGGGACATCAGGGGATGGGGCTAAGAAAAAATTATCAACTAAGAAAAAAACTTTCATATTATTATGAAAATAACATAAAACTCAGTAACCCAGAAACAATTTTCAAAAGACTAACATCTTGTTAAGTCTTGAAAACTTTAAAAATGCCTGTTTTAAAGGAAACAATTTATTTGCATATCAGATTTTCTAATCCATATAATAAAATGAAGCACTCTTTTAGTTTGTTTTGTAAACTTTGAATTTATAGAATTAATTCCCATCAATTATATCCCTTAAAAATTATTGTTGAATCCATGTGAATGTCATGGGTAGCAACTTTTCAGGGGTAGAATGCTAGCATTTTATTTTCTTATTTACTTAGGAAGAATGACTACCCCCATTTTCCTTTCTTCCTTTAAAATAAAATCAAAGTCTAGCTGCAGACACCTCAGCAGAGGGCTCCAAGGGGAATGATCCTTTAAACTTTTTGTTCTGGGTACAAAAGATTAGAAAGAAAGGGGAAAAAAAATCAAGACAGGCTCCCAAAGATCCTTTAAGACACTTAAAAGCATTAACAGTTTTGCAGGTTAACAGTCACCCAAGAGCAAAAATGGAAAGGAACAGAGGAAAAGGCAAGAGGTAATAATAGGTTTCAACAGAGGATCTGGAATCTAAGATAAACTTTGACTCCTTCAAAATTTTGACTAGGGCCAATCCTGAATTCAGTGCAGGCTTCAAATAATATTCCCTACCCCATTCCCCAACCATATAATTATTACCAACCTGAACTGTTATTTGTTTGATTTTGTAACATAACAGATTGCTGTGAAAGGGCTGAGGTTTTAGCTTTCTTTTTCACTGAAGAAATCCTATCAGACTTTGAAGGTGATATATGGCACTGAGTAGGAATATAAAAAAAAAAGAAAATTTCAGTCTATTGAAAAATAATATTTAAAATCTAAACTAATTGGCAAATAATTTGCCAATGTTACCCATTCTTAAAAGAGGACTGCTGATTCTATATCAGAGGTTCTTACCCTTTTTTGTGTGTTATAGACCCATTTCAATCTAGTGAATCTATGCCATCTTCTCAGAATATTTTTAAATCCACAAAATAAAATACATAAGATTACAAAGAAAACTAATTATATTGAAATAGTTAATTTTTTTTAAAGTTCATGGACTTTAAGGTTAAGAATTCCCATCTTAAAGTTAAGAATCCCTGTTCAAGATTTTATTTTAAATGTTAATTTATCCTGAGAATTAACTTAATATACATATATTAAAATTAAAATACTTTAAAAGTGCTCTATTAACACTGATGAAATGGAACGAACAGGTGAAGTAATACAATTCTTTATTACATATATTAAAAGTGGTTTATATGGCAATCAACTGGAAAGTTCTATATATCTGACTCTTCTATACATAACATTTGGATGGATCTCTGATCTCATCAGTGTACTATAACTTCCACCAAAACAGACGGATTACTATCTCCATCTTCTCATTCTTTGATTTTTACAGAGGGTCTACCCAAAAAATTAGGAAGCCATAATTTTATTGTTTTTATTCTGCACTTAAATACCAAAAGGGAAAAAAAGCAGTTTAATTCTGCTTATAATAGAACAGGGGGAAAAGATGATTTTTGTATCTCCAAATCTCTTTTAAATATAGCTTGTTTCTAATATATTTTCAATTAGCATTTATTTTCTAACCCTATCACACACAACCTACCTCCAAAAACAAAAAAGAAAAGAAAGAAAAACAAAACCCTGTAACTAGTATGCATCATCAAAACAAATTCTCATAATTGGCCACATCCAAAAATTTATTTCTCATTGTGTATCATCACCACTCTGTTAGGAAGTAAGTATCATGCTTCATCACTGATTGTCTGGAAACATGGATAGATGCTGAATTGATAAGAACTATTAAGTTTTTCAAAGTTGTTTATTTTTTCAATGTTGTTATTCTGTAAGTTATTCTCAATGTTCTGCATACTTTACATAAGTTTATATAAGTCTTCCTAGGTTGATTTGATGTAATTTCTTAAGGTACAGTAATATTTCATCACATTCATATATTATAATTTGTTCAGCCACTCCACTTAGTTTCCAATTCTTCACCACTACAAAAAGAGCTGTTACACATATTTTTGTATACATGGGTCCCTTTTGTTTTTAATCCTTTGGGGTATATGCCTAGTAGGGGTATGCCTATATCAAAGGGTATATGAAGTTTAGTGACTTTTGAGGCATAGTTTCAAATTGCCTTCCAGAATCTCTAGACCAATTCATAGCTCCACCAATATTGCCTTAAATGTGCATTTCTACATAATAACAATAAAATCTAATAGGCAACAGTAGAAAGGTAAATCATTCAAACTAACTGAAAAATGCATAAGACACTCAAGTCAATCTATCAAAGCACAGAAAAGTTGTGTAGGTTCAATTACAATGAGCCCCTTAAAGAAATAAAAAAACCTAAATAATTAATTAAATGTTAAATATATTAATTTATTATTTCTTATTAAATAATTCAGTGCTCATAGCAGATAGGTAACAAATGAGGAATGGCAAAATAAATTATGGTACATGAATGGAATGGAATATAACCATGCTATAAGAAATTGTAGCAGAGACAAGAAAACAACATATACATGATACAAAACATGACCACAACAATGTAAATGAAAAGAACCACCAAAAAAATTTTTAAATTTCTAAATTACAACTAATAAGCATGTTCCCAAGATATGTTAGAAGGCACGTCTTCTGCAAAGGTGGGAGGTCTACAATCATGGAACATTTGTATATAATGTCAAGGTTTGGGGTTTTTAAAAAATAATTGATGTTACATTTATTCTTTTTGCCTTTGTTTTTAACTTTTTAAAAATTTCTTATTTATATGGGATAACTTTCTGGAAAGTGTGTGAAAAAAGACTAGGGGAAATTAAGCAATGTAAAAAAATTTATATATTTATATTTTCTAAAATGGAAACTAACTCTGATTTATTAAGCTGATCTTAATGAGCACAGACACAAGATAAGCAGATAGGTTGGCCTGAGAGCAGTATAATGACCTTCCCATATCAGCAACACCTCACCCTCCTACCCCTCTAGAAAGGATGTTTGCTCCCACTATGAGCTCTCCTGTATCACATATAATTCCAGATATATAACGTACAACTGAAACATGAAGAATCCATTTGCTCCTATACTCTCATAAAACGTACAGAATTTTATCATAAAGTCAATGGAAAAACCAGGCCAATTTTTAAAAAATATGCCTTATAATTCTGCTGGAGCATAAATTCCATTCCTTAAAATTAATACTGACCACTACCTTTTAAACTTACCTCTTTATCTGGTGATGAATAAGAATAATTTCTTAATTTGCAAGGAGTTGAACAAAGAGTTGGACTTCCAGGATTTGTGCTAAAGCCAGTGTCAGAACCTAAAAAAGAGTCTAAAATTTAGAATTTAAAATACCATGTAAATGATTAAAATGCAAAGGCCTTTCTGATACACTTCATGTAATTTTAACACCAAAAAACAGCCATCTCTGTACAAGCCTCTAAGTGTAAAGCAAATCCAAGTACTTACTTCTGAAGGTTGTACATACAACTATGTTAATCCAATGTGAACATACGTACACATATGTAAAAAGCATGAAAAGAATGGATGTAGCTTTTTGATAGTTGCCAGATAGATTATTATGATTTGCAGTACCTCTCCAAAGAAAAAACAAAGAATAATTTATGTTGCAAAACTTCTCCGTGATGTTGGCTGTGTTGAGAGGATTGGAATGAGAAAGGTAACAGAGGAGATGATCAGTGATAGAAGAGAGATCTCTTCTTTTGTAAGCTTTAGAAATAGAACTTCTGCTTCTGTTTTTCCCGCCTTAGGCTTATTATATCATCTTAACTCTTAACCTTAAAAAGTAGTTAAATACTTGGATTAAGAACTTGGAGGGGAAATTCAAGTACAAAAGTCATCCCCATTCACTGGGTACCATGTAAAAAGTACAAATACCAACTGGCAAAATGGTGAATTTCAGATTTTACTCTTTAAAACAAAGAAAAACATTTTTACAAATATGTTTATTTAAACATTGTATTTTTAATATTAAAATAAGCTAAATCTTCATTTGTTCCAGCCATCTCCACATATAAATCAGAAATACAGGCTTACTTTTTTCTTCAAAACAGTCTTGTATATTTTCCAGTATATTCTGACCTTGCCATAGATCAGTATCAGGAACCCTATAGTAAAACAAAAGAGATAAGGGGAGAGTGCTTAAGACACTTAAATTGTCATTTATTGCCTAGATTCCACTGCTCTACTTTAAAATTCTAAAATAAATTTAATTAGGAAGACATTGGCATCCTTACTTTATGAATACTTGAAAAAAAGTGCTTTAAGATCTAAAGTTCAGTATCTAAAGTACTAAATTCATAAATAAATATTATATTATTTTATGTAAAGGACCATATGAATTCATATATCATTAAAAGAAAATATTGCTACTATTTACTAAAACCAGACTTATAACTGCTTTAGAAATTATCTGGTCCAACCCGCTCAGTTTACAAATCATAAAATGAAGATTCTGAGAGTTTACATGCTTTATCCAAGGTCACACTCGTAGTACTGTAACTGATTTGGAATTCGAATTTGAGTCCAGTGGCTTCAAATCCAGGGCTCCTGCCCATGTATTCTACTAGAATATAAATTGCTTGGGGGAAGGAATAGTCTCATTTTGCATTTCTTATAGGAACTGTTTAATAGGATCAGAGAGCTAAAAGGGGATTCAAAGGTCTTCTACTCCAACCCTTTTTATTACAAATAAGGAAACCTCTGAGGCTCAAAGAGGTTGTGGCTAAGTCAAGGTTATATAGGTAGTATCTTGAACCCAAGTCTACTAACTAAAGTCAATATTTGTTCCACTGTACAAATAAATACTTACTGAGTAGAACAGTAATTAGATGATAATATTCCCTTCCATTGATGTGAATAACTGAGACCAGACTCTAAGTTAAACATTTTCCCAGTCATCACTAAAATATTAAAATTTTAAACAAATCTTAAATTTAAAAACTCTTACAATATAGTCCTTCAGTAAAAACAAACGAATTTGTTCATTAAAGTTTGATATGAAAATCAAGTTTATAAAAGCTTTTATAAAATATCACCTAGAATTATAGCAAAATCTTGTTCTGTAGCTAATTTTCAGGTGATCCTGGAAAAGAAAAAAAGAAAAAGTAAATTATTTACCCAGATTTAATATTTGAATTGTTTTAAAAAAATACAGCTGAATTGTAAATAATTATTTAACTTGATCATATATGACAAGTTGACATGACTTCTCCTTATCGGTCTCTTCTAAACTCTCCTCACCTCCAAACATCCCTATTTTTGTTGAAGGTCTTCCTATGTTCCCAGTCATCCTAATATATAACTTGGGAGTCGCACTACAGCAGAGGCTCTTAATCTAGTTTGTGAACTTTCTAAAAATTTTGATAATTATTTCAACATAACTAGTTTCCTTTACCATCTTATGTATTTAATTTTATGCATTTAAAAACATTATTCTCAGAAGAGGATCTTAGCTTCATAAGACTGGCAAAGAGGTCCATGATACAAAAAATGTTACGAATTCCTATCCTAAAGAGTTTTCCCTCCACTCCCACACTCAAAGCAGTCATAATCTACCAAGTTTACTTCCAGGACACCTCAAACACCAGCAGTTCCCTTTTTTCTACACTCATGATATCCACTTTCACAATAGCTCAGACAAAGGTCTAATTACCTCTCTTCAGAGCTATTGCAACTGGTTTTCCAATCGGTCTTCCTAATTGGTCTCCCTTCTATCACTCTCTCCTCTCCAAATTTCCACATAGCTGACAAAATAATCTTGGTGAGGCAGAGATCTGTCTTTTCTCTGTTCAAAAATTATCAGCAACATGAAGTTGTGGTCTTTTCACAGTTAAGTGTCTTTATACTCTCCATCTAGCTAAACAGGGCTACTAGATTTTCCAAAAAAAAAAAAAATTAGTCCCTCTTCAAGTATTCATCTCCCTCTTAAAACCAGTGGCTATCCCTAGTATCCATCTAGTCAATGCCTTTCTCAATCACCGATTATTCAAAAAGTCTTCAAAAGAGAATGATTTCAATATCAAAGGATTAAGAGAGTCAGTCCCTAGAATCTAAGGCCCAAATAATGAAGCGCTAGAAGACTTATGTAACAATTGACTCTCTTTATGACTCTGCTCTGAAAATTAAGTGGAAAAATTAGTAAAATGCTACTATGCTATTATATGATTCTGTCAGAAAAGTTATATCTAATTAGTTTCCAATACTTACTGTTTAAAGTTTACATTTTGGTGGGTGAATATAGCAGGAACATAGATATCAGGAGGTTCTCACTATCAGAGTACTCATTCCCTGAATCACCTTTCTCCCCATGCAAGTCACAGTCTTTAAAAAATTGTCTTGGAGTACTGAAAGGTTAAGTGACCTGCTCTGTCAGAGGTGTAACTTGAATACAGGTCTTCCTGACAATGAGGCCAACTCTTTAGCCACTACTGCCTAGAAAAACTGTTGCAAGGTTTTCTAAAGAAGCAAAAGCCTCAAAACACGAAGACATTCACTAAAGAACTTACCACTTAAAAAATTAGGCTCTCTTCAATCTCTCTCCTAAGACCAGTGGTTATCCCTAGCATTCATCTAGTCAATGTCTTTGTAAATCAATGATTGTCCAAAAAGTTTTCAAAAGAGATTAATTTCAATACCAAAAGATTAAAAAGAGGCCCTAGAATCTAAAGCCCAGATGATGAAGCTCGAGAATATTTATGTAACAATGACCCTCTTTATGATTCTAGTATGAAGTGGTAGAATAAATTAAGTAAAATCCTACTACGCCATCAGAATTCCATCAAAAAAATTATGCCTAAAAAACCCATTTGATTAATTTTTCCTTCATTTGTTTGTTCATTCTAAGAATTAGAGACAAATTATTAAACTTAAGAAAAAACAAACATCCTCAGAGGTACTTGAGGTAAGTACCACAGGGGCCTTGAGGTAAACCAGGAAATTCTAAGAAGTAAAGGTGGACAGGGAAGCAATGGATGGCACTCAGAGTTCAGGGGACTAATACCTAGGACAATTTGGCTGCAACAAACTATGCATAAAGGGAAATAAAGTAATTTACTTAAGTCTGGAAAAGTAGAGTGGAACCAGATTATGAAAGGCTTTAGATGCAATACCAAATTTGTAATTTTTTCCTGGTGGAAATAAGAAACTCTGGAAGATTTTTAAGCAGTGATTTGAAAAGGTCAGTCTTGTGCTTTCAGAAAATTATTTGGACAGCTAATTTGGAGACACTAAAAGTTGAGAGGTCAAATTGTTGCGGTAATTCAGTTGAGGGGTTAAGAATCCCTTAATTTGGACAGTGTCTGTTTACGTGGAGGAAAGGAAACAGCAGATCAACAAATGGAGATGTTGTGGTGACAGAATTGACAAGACTAGGCAAATGACTGAGGATAAAGGGATGAGTCTAAGATAAACCTGGGTCACTAGAAGAAAGTGTCCTCAACAGAAATAGAGAAGTTTAGAGAAAAAATGGGTTTAGAGGAAAAGATAATGAGCTCCATTATATACCCACTGAGTCCAAGATTTCTATGGGACAGCCAGCTGGATCTAACAGAAATTTGGTAAAACAGGCCTGGAACTCTGGAGAGAAACTACCCCCTGCTTCCATGTCTTTATACAAATAATCATTAGCACAAGGTATATAGATCTGGGAATCATCTGCATAGAAATAACTGAATCTGTGGGAGCTAATTAGATAGATCATCAGGAAAGTTAGAAAGAGAAGAGATGAGGGCTGAAGACAGAGGATATAGCCACACATGGGGGCCCCTGACATAGTTGATGATTCAACAAAGGAAACTGAGAATGTTAGTCAGATGGGAGAACCGGGAAAACAAAGTATCATGAAAACTCTTGGGAATATCCAAGAATAAGAGATGTCAATAATGTCAAACACTACAAGACCAAGAAAAGGTTATCAATTTATCAATTAAGAGAATATTGGTAAACTTCGAAAGAACAGTCTATAAGTGATGAGGTCAGAAGCCAAACTACAAAAGACTGAAAAATGAAATAACAGAAAGGAAACAGAAGCAATGGAGTGTAAAGAGAACTATGATTTTTTTCTTATTAATCAATGTGATGTAATGAATATACTAATAGATTAGATTTTTCAAAATTGCCTCTCTGAGTCAGCTTACAATATAACTTGAAATGATCAATCAAATCCTTTGACAAAGCTCATAATCACTGGCCGTGTACCTCAAGTGAAGCAAATCAAAGATTGTAGAGCCTGTTCCCATCACTGAACTCTGGTCCTGCGACCCAAGTCACAACCCCCAAAGACTGGACTCCAGAAGGGTCGTGGTAAACCACTCTGGTCCTAAGTAACGATTGTTTGGAATAAGCCATAGCTCAGTCTTGGAGGGGAAAAAGGCAAAAATTTAAGCAATGTAAAAACAAAGGATAAATAAAAAAATTTATTTAAAAAAAACAGAAAAAGGAGCTCAGATGGGGACGCAGACAAGCAAGAAAGTGTTGGCACTATGCAGGGAATCGTAAGCATTTAATCGAAAAGGGTTTTTAACTAGAAAGCTAACAGAAACCTGGAGAGGTGATCAACTCAATATAAATAAGGAAATATTTCCCCCAGATTATAACGTGCTAGCCATGGGGAAATACAAAGAAAGATTAAAAAACTGTCCCAGTCCTCGAACAACATCAATTAATTACCTCCAAATTACCCTGCGTATAGAGTGGGTGTTATATGTAATTGTTTGTAGATAGTCTCCCGCCCCGCCCCCTCCCCGTGGAACTTAACTCCCTGCACTTGGCCTAAGTAGTACTTAATAAATGCGTGCAAAATTGTACACAAGTGCGGACCAAAAACTTAATCTGAAATAATCAAATAAATAATATGGCAGGCAAAATCCCAAATAAAACTCCAAACCACTAATAAAACTTTAACAAAATAATAAATTTATGTGCTCAGTTCCCTTCCAACGTCTTTGTTTACTCTGTGCTTAGCACAGTGCCCCGCCTGCCCGTAGTAGAACTTCATAAACATTCACAAACATAAACTCTCAAAGAGTTTGCTAGCCACCAGGCAGGAAGGTGAAAGGCCATTCACCAGGCACTTCCACCCCCTGAAGATGAACGGCAGACGGCACGTTCAGTTAAGGTCTCACTCAAGCATCAGGCCAGAAGCCAGAGAAGAAGGTTGGTAACTCGCTCTCTGCCAGGTCAGGCGGGCAATGATCCACCGACCCCTACCCCAACAACTGGGCCAGCCTGGGGCGTGCCGCCCGCACCCCGGGGGCCTTTCCTCCAAGCTGTCAGGCTGCCTCAGCCCCAGCTCCGCTCGCGGGCACCCAGTCCTGGCATCCCTGTGGACCCGCCCGCACCTCAACTCCGTTCCCTCGCCCCCTCTCCCGGTTCCCGAGGCCCGCTCCGTCTCCCTCTCTCCCGCCGACGGCTCCCAGGCCCAGGGTAGAGAGAAGTAAACTGAGGCTGAGGGCAGGTCCTTGCGGCAGCCCCCAGGGCCCGCCCCCTCCCCGCCCCCTCCGCACCTAAGCCAAAGCCACCGAGGCCAAGAGTCGTTTGTTCAAAACGACCACAACCACCCACTTACCAGGTCAGAGGAAGCCATGGTCACACCACGGGGCCCCGGTCTCATCTGCCCAAGTACGTGGTGGGGAAGGGGGCGACGCGTGTGGAGCGAATGGTGCTGGCCGGCCCAAGCCGGGTCGCTGGGCTTGGGTGAAGGGAGACGTCTCGAAACGCTCTTGGTGGACTGGGGAGTCGAAGGGCGGACACGCCGGAGACACTCGGGTCAGTGTCTCCAAGTTCCCACGCACTCTCAGAGCCGTCCCCTCTACCCGCCAAGCTCGCGGCAAAGAGTTGGGGGGGGGGGGGAGAAGTTTGAAAACTGGATGAACATGCGCAGAAACGGACTCGAGCTCACTCTCCAGAGTCCCGGAAGAAAACTTACGGTGGAGGTAGAAGACGCCCTCCTTCTCGTCTCCTCCAGCCCTCCCCGCACCCAGCCCGCTGAGCCTGGGCTGGGATTGGCGCGAGCGACAGCCTGGCTGACTGGGATTGGCGCGAGCGATAGCCTGCCTGGCTGGGATTGGCTAATTTGTTGCAGTCAGACCCACGCCTCCCATTTGTGACCGTTGGGTTTTCTGTTGCTCCGCTGCGAAGCAGAGGATAGTGTGTTTGTGAGACGCTGAGTAAGTGAGAGTGACTGAGTGAGCGTGTGAAGCCCGAAAAGGGTTTTTAAGTGAGTGGCGGTGAGAAGTTCTGTGTGCGTGAGAAAGTTTATGTTTGTATTAGCGGCGAGGAATTTTTTTATGGAGGTGTGGGTGGATAAGTGTGTGTGAGTGTTAGAGGGGAGAGGGATTTGTGTGTCGACTAATGAGATAGTGTGTTATCGGAAATGCATTTGTTTTCTAGATGGTGAGAAAGTGCGAATGTGTTATAGTGGAGAGAGGTTGTGTAAGTGTTGGTGCCTAAGTATATTCTTGGTTGCCTCTTTTATAGATGTGCGTGTATGTGTGTGTGTGTGTGTATACACACACACACACACACACACACACACACACATATAATCACATTTGTGTAAGAGAAGTGCTATGCTCAGAAAATCCTACGTTGAAAACAAAACAGTCCCTCTAGGGGGATTCTACTTTCTCCTTCGGCAGGGATACAGCTGTAGATAGAATGAATAGAAGATGTTTTAAGAAGAGGGCTGCGCCCCAAGTGTCATCCTGACCCCTCTCACTCACAACCCCACCCCCATATCCAGTCTGTTTCGGAAGTCTGTAGATTTCACTTTTGCAATAGCTTTCGAATACTTCCCCTTCTGCCCTGACTGCCACCACCCTAGTGCAGGTCGTCATCACCTCACACCTGGATTATTACAATAGACTGCTAATGCGGTCTGCCTGCCTCAGTTCTCTTTCCCACTACAATTCATCCTCTATTCAATCATTAAAATGATTTTCCTAAAGCCCAGGTCTGACCAAGTCATTCAACTTCCGTCATTCAACACCGTCCCCATACACACACACACACACACACTCAAATTGTTGATTCCTTGTTGCCTCCAGGATCAAATACAAAATGATCTGTTTGCTGTTCAAATCCCTTCATAACCCTCAGCCCCATCTTTCCAGATTTCTTATGCTATACCCCAACCCCCAATACCCTTCAATCCTGTGACACTGGCCTCCTTGCTGCTCCTCAAAAAAGACACTTGGCACCTCCCTACTCTATCCATTTCCCCACACTGCTTCTATTAAATAAGTATGGAAAGGTACTTCGGAGCCAGATTTTAGAGGGTTGCTGGATGCCATATTGAGTAGTTTTAAATATCCTGAAGTAGAGAGGTTCTTAACTTTTTTGTCAAGGACCCCTCTGGCAGTCTAATGAAGCCTGTGAATCCTTTCTTGGAATTTTTTGTTGGTGGTGGTGGTGGGTTTTTTTTTAATAATTTAAAGAAATATTGTTTTCTACTGGTCATGCAGCATATTCACAAGTAAATATAGGATAAATACAAAATCAATATAATGTGATTTCAGGGGAAGGGATATAAACAACTAGGGTATTAAGGAACTTTGAAAGAAGCTAGAAGTTCCAAAAGGAAGAGGTAAAAAGCATCAGCATTCCAAACAATGGGACACAGCCTGGGCAAAGGCATGGGGGAAGAACATGGAATGTCATAAAAGAAAAGAGCAATTAGACCAATTTAGCTGGGGCATACGCTGAATGTGAGAGAGTGAGGTAGGAGGAAGAATTCAAGATATGTCGATGGATATGTGGATTTAGAAATCATAAACAGAGAGAAAATTATTGAGACCAAGGAAGCAGATGCAATCATCAAAAAGAAGAAGGTAGATAAAGCAAGTAACCTAGATCTTTGGAGAGCCAATATTAAAGGTTTCAAAGGAAGGAAAAGTAGGATCCCATGGACTAAAATTCTATAAGAAAAGTCAAGCCAGAAAGTCTGGGAAGCTCTCAAGAATGAAATTCCCAGGCCAGGTAGGTGGCACAGTGGATAGAGCACTGGCCTTGGAGTCAGGAGGACCTAAATTCAAATCTGGTCTCAGGCAAATGACACTAGCTGTATGACCTTGGGCAAGTCACTTAACCCCATTGCCTAGCCAAAAAAACCCAAAAAAACAAAAAGAATGAAATTCTGAGAAATGGAAACAAATTCAAATAAGAAAGAAAAGGAATTTTCCTTAATTTAAAAAAAATTGATATATTCACTTACCTTTTTTCTTCCTTCTTCTCTTCCTCTCTTTCCTGCCTTTTTTTTTCCATTCTTTCTCTTTTTTCTTTCTGATTAGGTCTCCCTATCTCATCCAAGTTGGAAGTGCCACAGCTCCTCACGGGTTGATGTTTTGCAAAGAAGCTTTGGCCCTCTTTGTTCCTGACCTGGGCCAGTTTGCTGCTCCTTAGGCAGCCTGGTCTCCTCCTCCACACCTCCACCCCCACCCTACCCCAGCTTCTGGGTACCCCAATCAGCTTTAGCCATACTGTAGCTCAGAACATAATGAACTCAAGAACTATGCTAGTCTTGCACTCCCTAATAGCAGGATTATAGGTATGAACCACTAAACACAGCTCATTTCTGAATGTATCCCTATTACTTTCCCCTATGTAGTAAGCTCTCTTGTAATATAGATTTTTGAAAACAAAAAATAAGTTCAGCAAAACCAACATATGACTGGGAGTTTTCTAAACAGATAGATGCAGATTACAGGGATATTAATCCATACAATATGTATAATGAATATGCTATTAATTTAGATTTCTCAGAGCTGCCTCTTCTGGCTTGGGAGTCAGAAGCTTACAATGCAGCTTGAAATGATCAAACCCTTGACGATGCTCTTACAATCACTGCATTCCTGTGCTGTCTAAGTGAAGTGAATCAAAGATTGTAGAACCTGTTCCTGTCACAATTCTAGTCCTGCACCCCACCAAGTAAGGACCCCCAAAGACTTGAAACAATGCTGTTCCCACAAGACTCCAGAACACCTGTATTGTCCTGCACTGGTGGATTTGTTGTGGGCAATCATTCAGGCCCTGGAAATGATTGTAATCCACCGTTCTCCCCTTTCCCACCTGTGATTTATGTACATAAACTCAACCTTTACTCCAGCACATAGAGCATTCTGAAAGTAATTAATTAAATTGCTACTTGTGTTCTGGCACTCCTGTCTCTAGCCTGCTTTGCATATCTCCAGGTATTCATAAGTTAGAGACTGATCCTGTCCAGACTACATTTAAAATTCTGTTAACAAAATATATGTACAGAAGATGGAAGCAAAGGCTGATAATGGAAGAAGAATACAACAGTGTAGAACAACCTTATAAGTATCAGGAGTGCTAACATTCAGATTGATCTGAGGCTTGCAAGGAAAGCTAAAAGCAATGCAAAGGGGGGAAAAAGAGGCATAAAGAGGAGATCAGACTGTTCCTTGGGAATAGATATGAGATTGTGTGGTTCTGAGACTTTTTTATTCCTACCATATTGATCATCAGCTTGAGTAAGTTCTCAAAAACACAACTCTGATCAAAATGGATCCCAACAGGAATAGAATACACAGAAAACCATTTGTCCCATAATACCCTGAGTACTTGTAAAAGCCTTTTGTTTATTTGATAGACTGATGCATATAGAATGAAGGATAAATGGTCTTTTACCACTAGATGTTGCTTATGTTTTTATCTTCTTCCAAAGATAAATCTATACACACCAACTCCACAGGTTTGCTAGTACTTACTCTCTCCAAAAAAGCTGTAGGAGAAGTTGTGGATGAAAGAGCTGAATAATCTGGAAAGTTCTCTGGTATACTGGAGATGTCCGAGCATCATCCTTTCAAGTTCCTCTCCCAGAGCCTGAATTACAGAATGTTACCAAAGTCCAAATGGTATGATTCTTAATGGCTTCTTATATGTCAAGGAGTCCATTCAGCACAATTCTTAATCTCAAAAATACAGTCTTCAAAGAGGGTCCATGCCTAATACAATTAGTGGGTCTTGAGATCACAATCTCCCCAAATACAAAATTATGCAAATACAACAAATTTTTTTTTACATTTATTGCAATTCTTAAAGACCCAGAGAACATTCACATCTTTTTCTAATTATCAAATGCACCAAGTACAGTTTTCTTAATCTTGCTGAATCAGTGGAAACTGCTGCCCAAACACTGATAGGACTTATAGGCAGCCAGAAGCATGGCAGCCTCAGCATGTAAGACTGCTGACATCAGGGCATATACTCGGGGGTTCCCCTTCCCCTACATTGCCTTTCCTCTACTTCAACCATGGGATCAGAGAAAAGGCCATATTGATCTAATCTTCTATCTGTGACAAATATTCTTGGCCAGGTCTAACTCAAGTCTGTTCTATGATTCAGGCCCAGGACTAGAATGAAATGAGCCCCTCGTAGACAAACATTTAACAAACACAAATTCGTATAATAACAAGGAAAGAATATTCAGCAATGGTAAAGCATTAAATTAGGCACAGTGGCATGCTAATACCATACGTAAGGATAAGTTCAAAGCACTTTTTTGTGTTTGGATGGCCATATGCAGATGTGAAAAACTAGCAATATAGAAGAGACAATGATTTTTCCTGCTACCTTCTACTCTTCTCATTCATCTACATGGAAGATCAAAAGGTTATTTCAGTTGAAAAAATTGGAGAGTCACTAACCCAGAGTAATTGGTGATTTAGAGGTAAATATCCTTTATATGGATGATGTGAAAACATAGTCAAACAGAGATTAAAAAAAGGTAGTAAAAGGAATGCTTATCACGAACTACAATGAAATCTGACAGTAAAAGCCAAATATTTGCACTAGGAATTTGAATCCAAAGAAAATATTTAGCTGAACATAT